AACCCTAACCTAACCCTAAAAAAAAACCTCTAACAAAAGGCCCTAAAATTTTTTAAAAATTTCATATTAAAATAATTAAAATTTCCAGCATCAGCCATTTCCAGCATTAGCCACGACAATTATTAAACGAAATAAGAGGTGGGTTGATGGTAGTGAAATAATCTACTAATTATTTGACGAATTGTTATAAGCGTAATAAGCTGATTGTCGATTATAGTATGTTTTTTATAATAAGAAATATGAATTTCATCGTGTTTCTTTGCTGAAAACATAAGATATATAAAAAATGTACTAGGGTTGAATTTTGGTTTATAAATTTTTCTCAGTAGAAATTTTTGGGTAAATTTTGTGTAGGTACTTATAGTTGTAATGATATTATGATTGTTTTTAATGAGAAATTTTATTTTTTGTTAGTAAATAAAATGAATTTCTTTATCGGAATTATTCTACCAGAATTATATTCAAAATTTCATGTATTTTAAGTGAATAGTAATTCATGATTGATTAATCACATGAAAGTACTATTAGTAAAATAATGTAATTCGTGTTTAGATTTCTATCGTTCAGGCCAAAATTATTCCAAATTGTAGTGGAATACTACGAATTTGAAATTATGATTCTTTTAAATTTAATACTTTATCAGGGAATAAAATTTTTAAAATTATTCATATACGGTATCGTATATGAAACAAAAAAAAAGTATTAATGTCCAATTTTTTATTACTGCAAAAGGTCTATACAGTAATCGGAATTCTTAATCAGAGATCTCAACCACCTTCTTTTATTAACTATTTCATCTAACTCCTTCTTTACTTCAAGACTAAATAGATTACCCATAAATATCAGCGAGGTTAAAGTTTTGTTCACGTGAAGAGAATTAACTAATGCTTTTCTTACAACATTTCCAAGGTCATTGAATGAAAGAAATCAAATTGGACCTTAGTATAAATGATTACAAACAGACAGTCAATTGACTGTCTGTACAAGCTTGATCTGTCAAATGATATGTCCGTGTATTGCTTTAACCAATATAAAAGAGATAAGTTTTGGCTAAATTAGAGCACAAATATCGCAATTTTATTTTCAAATAATGTCAGGTATTATCTTCTTCATCTTATTTTTTTAAATTTTATTTTGTTTTTTAAAAATCTTTTATTATTAGTCAAACAAAATTTTACGTACAATTATACCTACAAAATCAAGGATAATAATATCTTGAAGTTAACATTATTCGACTATGAAGTTTATAATAAGGTTATAAAATCAAGTGATGGATTTATGAAAAGAACAAGCGATAATTCATTTGTCGCTTCTTTTGAAAACATTGTTTTTAATAAGAATGAAGGATTATTGAAAGGTGAAAATCTCGTTTTGTATTGTCCAACAAAACTTATTCAAAATTTTGAACCAGAGGAAGGGGATATGGATAATGAAGTAACTAATATAATTAAACATAATACATTTATTAAAATTAAATCCCGGAAGTTTGAATATTATTCCCTTACAAGCGATATGGAAATGCTTGACCCAATTATATCTGTACCTTTATTATAAAAGATGAATTTAAAAACAGTCATATTTGATATATCAATATGTAAATTCTAATCGGAATTATTCTACCAGAATTATAAATGCTTTACAGAAACTTGAATATCTTAATA